GGACAGGCCTCCCATCTGATGGCAAACAGGCCGACAGGAGGCACGGCTGTGGCTCATCTTCCACATGGGGAAACTGAGGATCATAGTCAAGGCCCGGCAGCCATGGCCAGAACCCACACCTCCACCTCACTTCCTGGAGGGCTGCCTAGTGGGAACACTGGTTGAACCAGTTTCCTATAAGATTCTGGGAGCAGGACAGCCCCAGGGATAAGGATGGGAACAGGAATCCTCAAGCCCTGAGCAGTGCGGGGCAGGGGGTGCTCCTGGGTCTCCTGTGCAGAGCTGTCCCACTTTGAAGCTGTCTTTGCCTCTGGGCACCCACGGGGCCTGAGCCCGCCTGACCCTGCCCGTGTCTCCCTCCCAGCTGGGTCCCGTGTACACAGAAGGCGGGTTCGTGGAAGGCGTCAACAAGAAGCTCGGCCTCCTGGGCGACTCTGTGGACATCTTCAAGGGCATCCCCTTCGCGGCTCCCACCAAGGCTCTGGAAAACCCCCAGCCACACCCCGGCTGGCAAGGTGGGAGTGGGTGGTGCCGGGCTGGCCCTGCGGTGGGGCTGGTGAGGGTGGCTGCCTTCCTCATGTCAACTCCTCCTGCCACCTGCAGGGACCCTGAAGGCCAAGGATTTCAAGAAGAGATGCCTGCAGGCCACCATTACCCAGGATGACTCCTACGGGGATGAAGACTGCCTGTACCTCAACATCTGGGTGCCCCAGGGCCGGAAGCAAGGTCTGCCTTCCCCACTCCCCAAGGGAACCTCCCAGGCTGCCGGAGCCCTGGCCCTGCTCCTGGCTTGGGTCTGGGGGCTGCAAAGCTGAGCTTCCCTGAAATCCGGCAGAGGCGGGGAGGGGAGCACCTGGTGGTGGTCCCCTAGCCTGGGGCGGGGCAGCTCCTTGGAACCTCCCTGTCTGGGCCCCAGATACCTGCTGCACAGGGAATAGGCACCAGCTGGGGAGAGGGCCCGGGGCATCTGGGGTCACCAGCCGCTCCCCCATCTCAGTCTCCCGGGACCTGCCTGTGATGGTCTGGATCTATGGAGGCGCCTTCCTCATGGGGGCCGGCCACGGGGCCAACTTTCTCAAGACCTACCTGTATGACGGCGAGGAGATCGCCGCTCGCGGCAGCGTCATCGTGGTCACCTTCAACTACCGCGTCGGCCCCCTTGGCTTCCTCAGCACTGGGGACGCCAACCTGCCAGGTGCGTGGGCCCCTTTGGCACAGAGGTGGGCTGGCCAGCGGCTGAGCCCAGCAGGGGGAGGCTCCTCATCGCCTGTCATCCCAGAAAACCAGTGGCGGTCCCACGGAAAACCCAGAAGCTGGAGTAGAATCACAAGATACAGGAGGCCCTTGGCAGCAGCAGCAAAATAATAGATGGTGCGGAGGCCAGGCAAGGTGGTTCGTGCCCCTAATCCCAACACGTTAGGAGGCCAAGGCAGGTGGATCACTTGAACCCAAAAGTTCAAGACCAGCCTGGGAAACACTGGGAGACGCAATCTCTAAAAAAAGCATATAAAAAATTAGCTGTATGTGGTGGCTCACGCCTCTGGTCTCAGCTACTTGGGAGGCAAAGGTGGAAGGATCGCTTGAGCCCAGGGGGTTGAGGCTGCAGTGAGCCATGATGGTGCCACTGCACTCCAGCCTGGGTGACAGGGTGAGACCCCATCTCAAAAAAAAAAAAAGAGGTTATGGGACAGACAAACAGGTAGACAGGCTCAGGCTTAGAGAGAGACCAGGAGAGCAGAGCCCAGTGAGCGACAGAAAACGATACCTTGAGGCAGAGACAGCTGTGGACACAGAAGTGGCAGAATACAGACGAGAAAATTAGGCAGGGGGCAGGAGAGGCATACAGGCCTGACCATCCTGCTCCCCACAACCACCACCCCTCCAGCACCACAGTGACACAGCCACCTGGGGACCCACCCCCTCCAACACCCCACCCCACCCAGCCTCCTGTGGACCCACCCCTCCAACACCCCACCCGACCCAGCCCCTTAGGAACCCACTACTTGCCAACCTGGGCTCCTCCAGGGCCCCAACTCTGTTGAGGGCATTTCCACCCCTCCCACGCTGGTCTCCCCTCCTGCAGGCCAGGCCTGAGCACTGGTCTCTAGCACCCACTCCCCTGCCCCGCCCCCAGGTAACTATGGCCTTCGGGATCAGCACATGGCCATTGCTTGGGTGAAGAGGAATATTGCGGCCTTCGGGGGGGACCCCAACAACATCACCATCTTTGGGGAATCGGCTGGAGGTGCCAGCGTCTCTCTGCAGGTCTGGGGACCCCTGGAAGGGAGGGCCCGCCCCAAAGGTTGCTAGGAAGCTCAGACGGGAGGCAGAGGGCGGGAGGGGCAGTGTGGAGCTGGGGCTGTGGTGCTGGGGTGTCCTTGGCCCAGCCTGGGGTGGGTGGAGTCAAGAGCGGCCTTGGTGACGGGATTTCTGGGTGTCGTAGACCCTCTCCCCCTACAACAAAGGCCTGATCCGGCGAGCCATCAGCCAGAGCGGTGTGGCCCTGAGCCCCTGGGTCATCCAGAAAAACCCCCTCTTCTGGGCCAAAAAGGTAAACAGAGGAGGGCAGGGGTGGGCAGGGAGGGGCTGCTTTGATACCGGGTAGGGGCCGTCCTCATTTCCATTCTCTGTCCTGGACCCCGTTCCTGCCTTCAAATGGTTCTGCGCCGTGAACACTGGCCTCCCCACACCCGCCGGCCTTGATCGTGCCCCCAGCTGGCGGAGAAGGTGGGTTGCCCTGTGGAGGACACTGCCAGGATGGCCAAGTGTCTGAAGGTGACCGACCCCCGAGCCCTGATGCTGGCCTATAAGATGCCGCTGGCAGGCATGGAGTGTGAGTAGCTGCTCAGGTTGGGCCGTGGGGTCTCGAGGTGGGGGTGGGTACTGCCAGGAAGTACTCTGGAAGAGAGGAAGGTGGCAGAGCTGCAGCCTGGTCCTGCCACCACCAAGCGGGTGTCTCCCCGCCAAGGCCCCAGCTGTAAGAAAGAGGAGAGGGGAAGCCATTTCTTCTTCTTTTTTTTTTTTTTTGAGACAGAGTCTCACTCTGTCGCCCAGGCTGGAGTTCCATGGCAGGATCTCAGCTCATTGCAACCTCCGCCTCCTGGGATCAAGTGGTTCTGCTGACTCAGCCTCCTGTGTAGCTGGGACCACAGGCATGTGCCACCATGCCTGGCTAATTTTTGTATTTTTAGTAGAGATGGGATTTTGCCATGTTGGCCAGGCTGGTCTCAAACTCCTGATCTCAGGTTATCTGCCCACCTCAGCCTCCCAAAGTGTTGGGATTACAGGCGTGAGCCACCTCGCCCGGCCCATTCTTTCTTCTTATCTCCCATGAGTCACTGACTCCCCCTTTGAGAAGCTGATGAACATTTGGGGCCCACTGCCCCACCTCATGCATTCATATGCTGTCATTTGCATACAATTTTAGGGAGATTCATACACCCCAGACCAAGAGCCTTTTTTCTAGATGACCATTCATTCATTCATTCATTCAGCAAACATTTACTGAACTGTCCACTGGGGCCTCCAGCTCCACGATTCTGTACCCCAGGAAGGCCTGGGGACCCCTTCCACAAGCAGCTGTGAGTGTCAGCCTCACCAGCTTGCTAGGCTACACTTCTCTCTTGCTCATTCTTCCATGGAAACATGCCATGAAGCCCCGTCATCTGCATGTCTACCTGACAGGAACTCAACTGCACGGGCTGGGCAAGTCCGAACAAAGCAAGCAGCAGGGCCCCGCTGGGAGCAAGGCCCCTTGTGCTGGGCCCAGTGACAGCGGGGACCCTCTGTCTCAGCAGCCACGGGGTCCTCTAGGGGCCAGTCCAGGGGTGTGGAGGGCAGTGCAGACCTCGCACCATGTTTGGCTAATGGACTGGAACCCAGCCCTGCGAGAGGGAGCTCCTTCTCC